CACGATGAAATGTTAGAATTGTTAGAATTTACTCGTCAGGGCTATTGGGTATTCATCAAAATGCCCGTTTATCCCGTGACTATTTACATGACGCTACTGCGCATAGTATCATTTACCTCTTATTAGAGACAGTCGCAGCTGCATTGTTCGAATTATCGGAATACCAATTTGATGAAACACATTACATTATTGCTTGTAAAGATTTCTCATGTTCCACTACTGGTATTCACCAAGCACAGTCGGTTACTCTTCAGATAGTGTCCAGCTAGTTTGTATTGATTATACCAGCTGACAACAGTCATCGTCTAACAAGACTGTCCCCTAATGCAATGGTAATATGTGTATGACAAAAAAATATATGCTATCCAAAAATTACCAGTTTTACCGTTTTAAGTGGCACATTTCAGACTACCCTTTGTTTTTTCCAACTGTTGCTTCCGAGATTTCTTTCAAGGTCACCAGCGTAATTTCAACGCAATCAAACAGCCTGTTAATGACTCTATCGAAAAATCGAAAATATTTTTCATGACATTTATTAAATCCGCTTATGATAGCCGAATTGTTGAATGCCATTGGATCTCAACTATACTATAAGTGCAGTGTATTTAAACAAAGTTGGATTTCATGAAAGTAGCTAAGGATTTCCCTGGTCGTCCAGCGGCTAGTATGCTGCGTTCTACTTGTGGGGTCCCGGGTTCCAGCCCCACTTGGGTCGACGGATTCGCACTGCTGGTGAGATACAATGGAGTCAAAAACGAGAGTAGCTTATTTAGACAGATGCTGTGTTGCATAGCAAAACCAATTTACTGGGACTCATTCGGAAGGTCATTACTTCCGTAGATAAGCATTCTTTATCTTTCGCGAGCAGATATATTTGACTAGCTCTTTCAAGAATGAAGCACATTTGCTATAGTTCCTTGGTTTTTGGTATCCTTTATGACATGATGAGCGATAAATCTTTGCACTTTCTAACTTCGAAACGAATGAAGATAGTAAATAAATACGAAAATCGGCCACAACCATGAATAACAATTTTAGCGATATGAAAAAACGGAACTTACACTACTGGTCGATTGTGATGTACTAAAGTATTTTCTTTCTCATCAAATTAAGCTTAAATATATTTATCACCTACGTTATTGCTTTAGGTATGGGAAATAATTTGTCTCTTGTCTACTTCGATCTACGTAGTTTCTAGACTGCATAATTGTCAATCAAACGTACCTGACCTTGGTTACCCAGATTAAATAGTCTCAACATGAAAATCGCAAACTTTACCAATTATGAAAACAATATATTCTGATAAGATTCTGACTCATTGGTTAAACCTTCTACAGTTAACATTCGGTGTGGCGTACCTACCCCAAACCTTATTTCTTAACCAAGCTTTGCAACGTCAAGATTTGTAGAAAATAATTTTTTCACCGTTTTTGGACTTCAGAATATTGCGATACGTTTTGATCTGACTCGTATACAGCGGTGTGACTGAAGTTTGTGCGTTTAGGCCAAAGGACTACGGGCCGTTGCTAAAGCATTGCGGGTTTTGGCTAAAGCATTTCTGTTTTTGCTGAGTAACTTCGGGTGTTGGCTGAAGCTTGATGAGAAATGTTGTAGTATAGGTTAAAAATCCTAGTTTCTTCTCTGTATAACTTAGCATTCGTTGTTCTGTAATGTTCTTACTTGCGCTGTCATTATCACAGAAAATGATTTGTACAAGCAAAAGTAGGGTCACAGAAAAGAATTTGTTAAAACGTCTACTGTCTATGATTTTGCCCGCCGTTCAATCTCATTCCCAGAAGGCAATTGCTTTGTTCGCTCTGGGGACAAAATATGCAGGAACAAAGTTGTGCTTTTATCATAGATGTGCAACGTGTACTGATCGCTGCACACCACTAACTCATTCAATCTTGTGCGAAAAGGTTATACCGAGCTGTCTAGTTTTCAATTCCATATTGGGAAAAAAATACTCGGAGAAGATGCCTCGAACAGAGTACAGTAAGGTAACTAGTCAAAATCCCGTTGTTTTCTCATATCATAACAAATATCGATTAAATAACCTGAAAATGGAATGCCATGATCACTTCGAGGTATTCCGATTTTTAACTGTGAGGTTGTGCTTCGTTGTATGTGGTTTGTTTTTGGTCATAATAAAAATGCTCTTGCACCGTAATTCTCTGGACATTTTATCCGAAACCGGACCAATTTAATGCAACGTTTTGATCGAAACAATTGCAACACTCATTTTCATTCATTCATCAGTCAACTTTAAGTATTAATTTACTATTATTCATCATCCTTCTGTAGTATTCTTTCTCGCAATAAGCGCTCCTAGGCTATATAAACATTAGTTTTAGGTTTAGAAAACCCTCAAATAATAGCCAAATGTCGCTATCCCATCCCACAATGTGAGCTCGAACATAAAGAATTTTAACACATGCATTAGCTCAGCCAAAGAGGCATACATCTTTCACTACCTCCCAAATGATGAACCGTTTGGCTAATTCATGTGAGGTTGACTGTACCAACTTGTTTACCTTTAGGTGAGGATTAAGAAAGGATCAATAGTTTGGAATGAGATGATGCAATCGTGATAATGCGTGTACGTGGTGATTGTTTATGTTTCGAGTGCGGGTTAGTGTTTTTGAATGAGAGCTTACGCCGCCAGATTATAATTAAATTGACATAGTAGGATCACTGTTCTTCAAAATGTTTCTGGTCTCACAAATAAAACCGCAATGTGAACCCAGAAATAGGTTGGCGGGTGGGAGAGGCGGCTTGCAATGGCCTGCGGTGTTCACAAAATCCTAAACTTCGCCTCTTCAGATAACCTACCTCCAATCATCTAGGGAAGACAGGCCTTAAACGCATTGACCAATTTAAAAGGTTAGTAAGTACCATGTGAAAACCTGCTGCTCAAAGCTAGTTTGTTGATACTTGATGTTACCACAAGGAGATCAGAGAAAGGTAGGGTCATCTTTTGGGGAATAATCAAAATTATTGCAAAAAAATACTCTGCCATTTTATTAGCAAGAATGAAACTACTTCAGGTGAATCCGTTGCGACTTTCAGTGAATCTATTGATAGCGTTCAACTGGGAGCCCCACAAGGTAATCGATACTTCGGTAGGCACACGTTACCTATTGGTTTGTCACAACATCCGTCCAATAAGAATGAACTAACCTCTCAACAAACAAATAAAAGTACTTTTGAGTGTTACCAACCGAGCTAGAGTTTCAATGGGGTGAGGTCTGACCGATCGTTCCAGAGGTACAACGAGAAATGCTGTAATGATTCTGAACCCAGAGATGAAATAAGGAACACACTTGTCGTTCAAACACATGGGCAGTTGTAATATTTGTCACAGAATTCAAAATGGGATTCCAGAATTCGAGCAATACCAATCCCCGAAATAGAACAACTTCGGATAGAATAGCACACGAACTTTATTCGAATCGTATACTATGCCTATTCAATGCATTTAAAGTGTACAAGGAATTTCGAGGTCAGTGTCACACATCACACTCGCCGCACCTTGAGCTGACCACGGGATTTCTGTAATTCAGTCTGGGCTTTGCACTCAGTCGTTCAGCCCTTCTTGGGACTTGTTCATTCACACGTAATTCTTCCGTAGCGGCTTGTTGTTCAATATTTTGTTCATCAGTCGAATCAGGTTGCTCAGTATCTAAAGAAACATTNTTTGGTCCACATGTCTTCTGTGTATAGACAAATCATCCTTGTCAAGTAGTTGGAGCATTCTTCGACCTAAAGACTTTAGAACAATTCCTGAGGAGGGTCTTAAATCATTGCCACGGAAAAATACAACTTCAGAAGAATTAATACACAATAAATTGGATCTCAGATTTCGATCTTTCGAAAGTTTAGCAGGCGTCTCTTTAGTGGATGAATGAACAGAATTACGATATTGTAAAAGAAACGAATCAACACCTCTCTCAAGTTCAGAAAATGTGGATGGATTCAAAGCAGTA